TATTTTTCATTCTTTTTTTATAATTAATTATTTATATATTATAATGTATTGTTGTAGTTGTTATTATTATTTGTTAAATTATTTTCATTATTTTCTTTTGTTTTTGTATAATTTAAATGCATTGCTATGTTTGTTTGTTGTATTTGTTTTTATTGGTATGGTGGTTAATGATGTGTATATGTGTGGGTGTGTGTGTGTCTGATGCTCATGAATATGTTAATGTATTCGTGATTGAGGATGTATGTATATGTATGGTTGTGTGTATTTCCGCTGGCTTCATTTCCTTTGTTCTATCGTTCTATCGCTTTGTTGTCTTCTTTGTTTTTTTTGGTATTTAGGTGTCTCTATATAATCGGTGATTTCTTTTCGTATATTTTGTTTTGTTAGATTTCTTTGCTTTGTTTCTTCTTTGTTTTCACTAAATATTTTTGCTAATTCGTACGTTTCTTTTACACAATCGTTTCGTATTCTTCTTCTCGTCCTTTTCTCGTCTTGCTCATCGTGATCTCTGATCATATTACATGCAGTTACTTATGTTGATTATACATATGTATGGGTGATTGTTATGTGAATAAATAGATCACAGGTTTATATACCAGGATTCTATGTTTATAAATATGTATATGCATATGTATGTATGGGTGTTTTGGTTTGTATGTATTGCATATGTGGGTGATGATTTAGCAGTGATTTGATGGGTAAGGGGGTGGCGCATTTTGGTGAGCATGATTATGTGTATGTATGTATGCATATGTAGTTGTCAATTTTGTTTTAGTTAATACTACAGTTTTGTGTGTCTGAATGTGTGAGTTATTTGTTAGAAATTTTGTATTCAATATCTCTTTTTTTCAATTTTCATTTATTTCAAATCGAACCTATTTTTGTTTTTGCTTGGAATGAGAATAAATTTAATTTTTCTTTGGATATTTCAAAAAGCCAAAAGCGTAAATAAATCTTTGAATGAGGAACAAGAAATTATAAAATTTGTTAATTTTTTTCTTGGTTTTTGCTTTTTTTTTTGGAAAAATTTGTTTCGATACTCTATTTATTTAGTTTAAAGTTTATGAATAGAATTTCCGTTAAATAACCCAATGGAAACTTGTTTCGCCTTTTTGTTTTATCGAAAAAAATATCTAAATCATTGAAATTGTAATAGTAATAGAATTTGTTGTAATTTAAAAAAATGACTTACATACATACGTATTTGTTGGCTATTTTTTTTAGTTTTATTTTTTTATGTTTGTTTTGTTTCCTATAACATTATTTTATTTTTGTTTCATATCGGCATTTTTGGTATTATTATTTATTTGTTTATTTTATATTTATTAATATTATTTTTCAATATAAATTTTAATATGTATATAAATATGATTTTGTGGTATTTATGTGTCTGTGTGTCTTATTTTGGTGTATATATAAATTTGTATCATCGGGTAGGGGTGAAGAAATGCAATATCTGTGGAACATTGAAAAATCTACATTTCTAAATATTTTGTTTGGAATTTTCAAAATGAACATAACAACATAAACAAGTAACAACGCAGTTAGGTTCTGCCAGACTGACTGGGGTTTATACCATGAACGGAAATATATTTTGCTATAATAATTTATTTGCAAACACGATTTTTTGGCAAAAGCTTTCAAAATACCGAAAATTGGGAGGTAATTTTAATATGGGACTCTTTGAAAAATCCTCAACAAATATATGTGTCGAGGATAAATTGAACCTAATTATAGCCTAAAATATAAAATAGGAGATTGAGGCAGAGACCTTCAAAATACCAACAATTCAGAAAAAGCTATTCCAAATAATCGACCTATTTTGAACATATACCTAATGAAAATTCGAAAAGTCAATAAAAATCAGGAATCACCGGTATAAGGGGCTACTGCAATTACTCGACTTATATGGAAATGTGGAATTGCAACTAACTCTGTTGGAACTTGTTGTTGAAATCTCAAAATTATCTGGGACTAAAGCAACAATTGAGAAGAAATTGAGCCTAATGGAAGCAAATTTATTGCCATCACATACGTATGAGCGCTATTCCAAAACCTTGTCCCACATCAAAACCAAAAAATACCACCATAGGGGAATTTTGAGTTTGGATTTTTTCATTTTAATTCTTTAGCAGTAAGTACGGATTTCTTTCGTTTTGAAAAAAAAAAAAAAAACATTTTCTACAGGCTATGCAATAGTATTTTTTTATTTGCAAAAAATGAATTTACATCGCAAACAAACCTTTAAACGGGGAAATGTTGAAGAGATCTCCTTTTCGTCATTCCTTTTTAACATTTTCGTATTACAATTTTTGAAAATCCTTGAATTTTAGGTGTATAGTGCCTTCGGCATTATTGCCAATATCAATACGAGTAGAATTTAGTCACCCAGTAGGTTTTAGGTCCTTTTTCAAAGGATGTTCTCCCTTTAAATGCAAAATCGTAAGAAGTCAAAAGAATTCCACCAAATTACTTGTCATAAAATGTTGAATTTAAAAAATGTTGAAATTTAAAACAATTCCGGTAAAAAATGTCGCTAAAATCATCAAAATATAAAATGATTGGAGGTATCATTATATGGGGACTATACGAAGACGTGGAACTGCATATGCAATTTTTTGTCATAGCTTGTAGTACCCATTAAGGTCTTCCAATGCGAAATTTGAAACAATTCCGGTAAATAATGTCGCTAAAACCATCAAAATCCCGAATATCGTTATATGGGGGCTATACGAAGACGTGGACCTGCACAGACAATTTTCTGTCATAGGCTATAGTATTCATTACGAACTTCAAATGCCAAATTTGAAATAGTTCCGGTAAATAATGTCGCTAAAATCATCAAAATATCGAATATCGGGAGGTACCGTTTAATTGGGGCTATACGAAGACTTGCACCTACATGGCCCATTTTCCGTTTTATGCTGTAGTATCTATTACAAACAACAATTACCAAATTTGAAACAATTCCGATAAATAATGTCGCTAAAATCATGTGTTACAAACGGAATGACAAACTTAATATACCCTCCATACTATGGTGGAGAGTATACAAAGAGAGTCATTTACATTAAAAATGTTAGGATGAAAAGTGGGGGAACATTTAAATAGGTTCAGTAAACACACAATGCTCCACTCTGTGCAAACCTTCCGTGGGTTTTTCTTCCAAGTTTTTTTTTTTTTTTGATCGTCGAATGTCATGGTCTTTGTCTACGTTCTCTGGAGAATACGTTTAAAAAATGTCCGAAAGCTAGTGCTTTAATAGGATTGAAACCCTTCTCCAAGTCTTCTAAAGATAGAAAACTTTCTGGGATCATTCCAAAAATGGAGGTCACGAAATAAAAATGCCTTCTAGAGATATTCTGTAGCTGGGATTATTTCCAAATATTTTCCTTACATAGGAGACTCTTTTGAAGAACACTGTGCGATAAATTGCAAGTTTTTCAATAACTGGAAAAATCCGGAATATTCTGAATGAAAAGCTAAAAACAAAATTAAAATTAGTAAAAAATTATATAATTTGTACAGATCTTATATAAAGATGCCTTCGCGAGGGTCTGCGCTTTATTTTCTACTAGATATTTCTAAAAATTGTGTATTGCAATTCCCTTGAGGGTAAAAAACTTCCGACAAAATCCTAAGATGCAAGAATTTCAATGAATCTTAATTTAAAAATTTGTTGAAGAGTGGAAACTTGGAAACAACTCTAGTTTAGTAGAAAATTTTCGATTTTTTTTCCAGAAGTAGGTATTTTTACCCTGATTTCCGGGACCCCAGATTTTCGACCCGAAAGTCCGGGTTCAAGACACGGATCCACTTACCCGATATAGGCAAAATAGGTATCGTTTGAAAGTTTATGGAAATGCCTATCCAACAATCGTAACATGATTATAAGCCGTTAGGAATTTATAGTTAAATTATCGATTTTTTGCAATAGCAGCTAAGTTCGGCCGGCCGAACTTTTAATACCCTCCACCATTTCGAAGGAAATTCAAAAAAATTCCGAAAACTACCAATTAAATGAAAACCGTTATATGGGGACTATACGAAGACGTGGACCTACATACAAAAATTTATGCCATAGGCTGTAGTACCCATTGGTATCTTCCAGTACGAAATTTGAAACGACGCCGGTGAATAATGTTTTTGAAATCATCAAAATATCGAAGACTTGGACCTGCATACAAACATTTTTGTCATAGGCTGTAGTTCCCATTACGAACTTCAAATATGAAATTTTAAATAATTCCGGTAAATAATGTTGCTGAAATTGTCAAAATACCGAATATCGGGAGGTACCATTGTATGGGGGCTATACGAAGATCTGAACCTGCATACATACCCATTGGTATCTTCCAGTACGAAATTTGAAAGACGCCGGTGAATAATGTTGCTGAAATCATCAAAATATGGAATATCGGGAGGTACGGTTATATGGGGGCTATACGAAGACTTGGACCTGCATACAAAAATTGTTGTCATAGGCTGTAGTACCCATTATGGACTTCAAATATGAAATTTTAAATAATTCCGGTAAATAATGTCGCTAAAATATTGAAAATACCGAATATCGGGAGGTACCGTTATATTGGGACTATACGAAAACATGGACCGACATGGCCCATTCACGAATACTAAACTAGAGTTAAGGCGTCTTCTTTCATAATCTACTGGATTTTTCCCGTAATAATTTTTTGTGTTGCACAGTGTAATTGAAATCTACAAACGCAATCGGCATTTCTTCAAATGTGTGATTTTCACTATGTCGGTCTGGTATGGATCTCTGTGTGTGTGTGTCCGTGGGTATGTGTGAAAGAAGTGTGTCTAGTGTTGTTTTCTTTTTCCTTTTGTTTTATCGACTAACATATACACATGCAATATATGTATGTATGTACATTAGAATGGTTGGTGTCTAGACTACAATCATCGTATAAAATTGTCATTATTTGGTATTTATTTTTTAATTATTTATTATTAATATTATTAATATTATTATATTTAATATTTATTTTTTTATATTAAATGTATTTTTTTTTAAATTTTATTTCTTGTTGTTTTTTTGGTTTTGTAGGCAAAAATATATATGTTATGTTGTATGTATACATTATAAAATGAGTATATTTGGTTTGGTAGGACAACTACGGAATTGTATCAGTAACCGGCATAACTATTCTGCTTCAGCTTCATCTGGTTTTTGTTTCCTTTTGCTAGCATTTTTTTTTCTCTTTTTGAGATTTTTCTTGTTTCTGTTGCTAAATCAGTCACTTCCGTGTTGTGTTCAATTTTTGTTTTTTTTTTTTTGGTTTTACTTTCAAATTTTCTTTAAAAATATATTTTTGTTGTTGGTTTTAAATTTTGTTTTGTTTTTTCTTATTTTGCTTGAGTAGAAAATGAGCTAAATTATCTTTCTTTTTGTTGTTGTTGCTGTTGTTTCTGTTCAGATAAGTTTTTGTTTTTTTTAAGATTTATATGTAATTATTTATTTTGTATTTGTTGTTATTAGATATTTGCATGGTTATGTTAGAGGGGGAAAGTTTGAGAATTTTTCGAGCGGGGGCTCCAGAGTTTTGGGGTAAGCCTTGGAAATGTCTATGTGGTTACTTTTGGCCTTTTTCTTGCTCCACGATAATGAAAGCTCATCCCCATAGCCTTTGGGAATATTTGGAATGGCAGTCAATGCAGTGTCGTGTCAAGAACTCTGAATAGGAGAAAAGCAGGGTCTTTGGGTAGTGTCAGATTTTTTTAACCATGTTTGCAGGTTTTCCTTTTTAAAAGCTCAGCATATTTTTGTATGTTATCATATGTTTCATAGTTTTACCTTTTTGGGCGTTTGGGATATTTGTTTTTCGGGGAGTTTTTCTTTTGTTACTTTTAGCAGGGGTTTAGTTTTTAGAACAGGAATCGTTTAACGAGAATTTTCTTTCCATAGAAATTTTGGTATTTTCTTCTTTTGCTTCACAAATATTTAATTTGTTTTTTATTATTAATATTATTGTTGTTATTGCAATTGTTGTTATGTTTGTTGTTGTTGTTTTAAGATTATTTTCCATAATAATTAATAGAATTAGAATTATAATAATAAATTGTTGCAAAGAAATGCTTAAAATTATGACTAGACTTAGTTTAGGGCAATACTCAGTAGATCATCAGTCGCATTCCGGTCCATCGGAGAAATGACCGCGCACATCGAGCGCCGTTGCCAGCTGGAATATAATATGCGACAATGTGGGATGCTCTAGCAGTTCATTGGATGGCAATGGTGGTTCACAGCGTGGTCTCATATGGCGTCCCCGGAAACCACGATGCAGTCTCAATACAACATCACAGAACACAAAGCGTAGTATGAGGGTACGTAAGAAGTCATCACCAAAGAATTGAACATACGATGAATCTGTAAAGAAGAGAAAAAGACATTAGTTATTTATGACGATAAATACGAATTATTTTAATATGTGAATATTTTTAAGACTAAATTTTTGTAACCTTTGGCCTACCTGAAATAAAATATGAAGTAGAAGACCTTTTAAAAATATTCTATATATAGAAGACCTTCCACAGGTATTCTATATTTTAAAATTCCTTTCCACTTTTTTTTTATAGATTCTAGATCATGTTGCTTAGTATTCTTGATGTATGCAAGCGTAATGAGATGTACAAAATATTGAGGAGGATTTCGAGAAAATATATTCAACTCTATAAACGAACATCGATCTTGGAGCACAAGTTGTCAATTCCACTTGAAGAATAAAATCGAAATCCACCCTCGATTTGAGTTCCACCAAATAAAACTAGGATTCGCTGAGACTACGAGTCTTACAATGCTTTATTCGCAAATGAACACACGTCTTTAGTTTATACAGTTCACACTCGACATAGCTCACAGCTCGCAACTTTATTTAGCACACATCATTTTTTTTAATTTTATTGAATGAAAGCAAACAATGTCGGAAATAGCATCAAATTTTAGAATAAGTCTAGATTTGTTCGAATTGGTCACCTTTGGCGCGAATTATGGACTCCAAACGACCAATGAAACCGTAACACGCTGCCCGAATGTCTGCGGTATTTTGGCCCATTACCGGCCAAGTGCTTGCTTGAGGTGATTGACACTTTGGTATTTTTAGTGCCAATCTTGCTTACTCCAGACACAATAGTCCAACGCATTAGTATCCGGAGATTTTGGTGGCCATTGTGCGCTGGAAATGAAGCGAGGAACCTCATTTTGTAACCATTCTTAGGTGGCGCGTGCTATTTTTATATTTTATATATTTTGCGACAATATTCGGCATTTATTCTGATTATAAAGAAATCACAGTCACACCCTTGAATTCCATCACGAATAACTTTTTTTCTGGAAAATTCTCACCAAAATGCTTTTGTGCGCTTGTAAACAATATAATGAGCTGTCACTGGAATAACTTTAACAGCTGTCGGACGAGTGACTTAGAAATGACAACAGTCTGAATTTGGTTGCAGTTCTTTCATTTCACCCTGTAGAGAGGGGTTATACGAAGACGTGGACCTGTATAAGTTATTTCTCGTCATTGAAGGTGGTATACATTACGACCTTCAAATACCAAAATTGATACGATTCCAGTGAAAAATGATATACGCTCCATACTATGTACGGTGAAGGGTATAAAAAGGTTGTGTAGGAATTCGAGAATGCGAATATCACTCAACTCCATAAATGCCGTTAAATGTTCGAGCAGAGATCACAGATAACCCCACAAAGAGAATAAAATCAAACCATAAAATCGACCATTTTCATACTTCATCAAATGGAGATAAAAATATTGGTATGGGCAAAATTACAAAAAAATCGAACATTTATATCCAATTTTATGCGAAATTATAAATTCCGATTAGTTCCATATTCATATCAGGTTTTTGGTTGAGAGCAATATTTAGATATGGCAAGTTGTAAAGAATCGCTGATTTGTTTCGCAAATTTTGACAGATATAAGTATTGAAAATTGTGACCCATTGTTGGTGAGGTACCAGAAAGGGGTTTGCAGATATAAATCATCTTCACAACAGATCTTGTGTTAGAAGAAATAATGGGGTGTGTGAAATATGAAGAGAACCAGATTTTGTGATCGTTTTGGTTATTCAAAACATTGCCCCTTTGTTGGGGAGGTACAAGAAGGAATGTTTCGATCTCTACCATCTTTATAAGAGATCTTGTATTGATGAAAATATTGAAATGTGCCAAGTCTGAGTTCAATATTCTGACCCTTTTGTGGGGGAAGTGCCCAAAGGAGTAGGCCGATATATCTGATCTTCCCAGCAGATCTTGCGTTTAAAGAAATAATGAGATGTGTGAAATATGCAGAGAACCAGAAACATATTTCGGATTTTGTGATCGTTTTGTTATTCAAAACTTTGATCCTTTGTGGTGGAGGTACCAGAAGGAATGTTTCGATCTTTACCATCTTTATCAAATATCTTGTGCTGGTAAAAATATTGAAGTGTGCCGAGTCTGAATGGAATCGGTTGTTAAATTCGCGTTTTATGAAAATGTTGACCCTTTTGTGAGGGAGGACCGAGGAGTGGATCGATATATTCCATCTTCCCACCAGACCTTGAGTTAATAAAAATATTGGGATGTGAGAAATTTGAAGACAATCGGACTCTTATTTCACATTTTAGACGAGTTGTAATTATTCAAAATTTTGACCCTTTGTGGGCGAGGTACTTGATGGAGTGGACCGGTATTGTACACTTTTGCACCTGACCCAGCACTGATACAAATATTAGGATTTGCAAAGTTGGAGCAAAATCGGATTGTGTTTTCTATTCCTTTGCAATTTTTTTTTTTTGAAAATATTGACATTTTGTATGGGAAGTATCAGAAGGAGTGGACCGATATTACCCATCTCCGAACTCGATCTAAGTTTGACAAAAATATTACGATGTACCCAGATTGGACCAAATTGGATACTCCCTTCGAGAGTTATCGTGCGCACCAGCCAGGCAGACAGACGGACGGACAAACGGACGGACATCGCTAGATCGACTCCAAATGTTCTGAAACGGATTTGGTCCAAAGAGACCTAGGGTCTAAAACCGTTATTTCGACTAGGCACGTATTGACCGTATCAAATGATATATACCCTCTGTAGCCATATGGCTGAGGGTATAACGAGTTGTTCCAAATAGACCTAGGGTCTAAAATCGTATTTTGATGAGACACGTTTTGGCAGTATCAAATGATATATACCCTCTCTCAGCCATATGGGTATTAAAAGGCACATTTGGAAAAAATATGAAAAGCTATGGACATTTTTGAAGAATTTGGTAAGGACAAATATAGAATTAAAAAAGCCAAAACATCAATATGCGTGAGTCTTAAAAATAACATGGGTATGCACGAACAGAAAAGTTGTCCTTGCCTCCTTAAGAAACACTAGTTACGACGAAGTTTTAAAAGTTCCATTGACGCAATTAATAAATATGGCCCCAGATTAAGAAGCTATTCAAAATAATAATCAAATAGAGCAATTTTGGGAGAAATCTGATATCATGAAATTAGTGGAAATGTATTAAATTTATAGAAAAACGGATGACCTGAATGCCCAGCAGAAGGCGGTAGATATGTAGATTTAAATGAAATAAACAGAGAAATTTAAAACGAAGTCCAAAAATAGGATATAAAAGAAAAATTCGATATTGCAGATGTTTTCACTATCAAAATATTAATGAAGAAATGTCGAATTTTGTCAAGAGACTTCACAAAAACCATTTAAGAAATTAAAAGAGCCCCCCTGATCACTTTAATGAAGCTATGGACAATTTTGATTTGAGACAGCTTAAACATCTATAGGCAAGTGAACAAGTGAATATTACAGGGATAGCCGGGAAGTCGAGGAGGTTTATCATGATTTTCGTCCTGACGGCTTCATTCATGATGCACCATTGCACAGGGATTCTCTAAGAGAACACCTCCATAGAAGTCTATTTCAAATCGAAGATCAGCTATACAGGATTTAAACCCCCCTGGGTAAGGGGTTGAGGATTATTTTGCATCTCTGCTGTTTAGTGAAGAAATTGGAAAAATCGTGGCGATCACTTGTGGAAATTTTTAATAATTGTCTCTGCCATAAAGAAAGCACCGAAGATGTTGATTCTCCATATATGGACAATGGGGTTTCGACTAGAGAATATATGTATTGTGCATCGGCGATAAAAAGATTGTTGTCTAAATTTCAGAGAGATTCATATGTGTCCCAGAGCTTGTCTAATAGGATTGCACCCGGCTGAGAATGCAACACCACATCGAGCTGAAGCTCTCAGCGCGAGTTGGTCATAAACCATGACCACCGCGTTGCACCCGAAACAGGGATCTTTCCATAGTCAGTCTAGATCAACAGATCTAGGGGCTCGTTGAAATTACAGTATTTGTTTCATTGAACATTGTTCACCCAAAATGAAAAAGGTGTTTTGCAGGGATATATACGAACGGAAGGAGAAGTCGTTTCTTCTCACACAAATTGAAAAAGGAACATCGGAAACACCTAAATTGAGCGCGGAACAGACGTCTTCACAGTCGATGGTGTTTCCAAAAATATTGTCATCTAAATCTGAACATTGAACTATTCAATATCTTTGACTCAGATTGAATCTAAAACACCAACCAAAAATCGATTTACATCGCAATTTTCCACTCCCAATGTCGACATAAATCGAGGCATTACTGTATCCTCTTCAAAGGAATTTATCCACCTTCTCTTCTTACCTATATATCCTTGGTCAATTTCATCTATGCGACAGCGTGTTACTAAACGGGAAGCTTCTGTTATAAAATGATCCACATACGATTGGCAGCGTTCCCAGTGATGGATGGGCACATCGCCAACATTACAGATGTAACACAAAGCGGTGAGAGGGGAGTGCAGGAACAATGTAAACAAGGAGCCATGGTGTTGGACTTCAGCTAAAATAGAATAACAACAATTATAAATTAATATTTTTTAAAAAAGTATAATCTCCTACCCTGAAAAGCTGGTGGTACATCCTGAGGTGACATGAGCACAACCAATGGTTGGCCAAAATAACGGGGTATATGCTGAAACACAAACGAATTATCCGAATCGATAATGATGAACATGGGCCGTCGGGTGAAGGGATATAAATCGCCTGGATACAGACAATGGGTTTCCTTGTAGGATTTCCCTCGACACGCCAGACCGCCGCCATCAACACCATCACGTTTGACACTTGTGGCCAGGCCACCTAATTCATAGCCATCTGAAATGGAAGAAAGGAGTTAATTTTATGTTTTGAATAGTAAAGTTGTTGGAACCTACAATCTTCGGGATGTTTGGTGGTGGAAAAACAGCCATCTGCCGACATGTATAAGAGTAAGGCGCCTCCCGGAGGCAATTCTTTAAAACCGCTAGCTAAGAACACCAGAAGTTGGCTAATCGAAGGCTTATACAATAAATACTTATGAGGATTGTCACGATAATGGCGGCTATTTTCCAAATAGCCCTTGGAACCTGGAACACCGTATGGTGGTATACGACTGGCCGCTGGACTGGCATCGTGTCCATGCATGCCATGTGAAACACTCATAGGATGTGTGGTTTCTGTTGGTTCCCGTTCTAGTGTCTGTAACATTCTGTCGAATTAAAAAGAAGAATATTGTGTTCATAATTCATTTGATTTTGAAAGTGAGAAGATGACTTACCTAAACATATCCATTGTTAGCTCCGAAAATTTGGCCTGTTCGCATGCCGAGCCCACAATCAAGATCTCCTGCAGGCTCAGCGTCATGTGCGGTGATCTTTCGCATGGCGGTGTTGTTAGCGGCGACAACCTAGAACCGGAACCACTACTCATCAATGGGTGAAGTTAACCATACTAAAAAAGCTCTTGCTAAGGCCCGTGCTTTCACAGAAGAATTGATTTGATGTGATGCTAATGAGACACTTGTGATTTCTTTTTTTTTCTTTGAATTTTCATCTTTAGGTGGAAGCGTTTGATGGCGACACTCGATGTGGTAGGTTCCTTACCAACCTCCGAGGTTTTTAATTTAGAGTTGTTGGCGGTCTGCCACATTGAGCGCCGTATCGAACACACAAACATACACCTTCTTATTACAACTTGTTTAATAATTTTTATTTATTTTTTTAATTATTTATTCTTTTATTTTTATTGATTTTTTTTATCTGAACAAAAATGAAATACTGAACGTGCAAGAATTTTTGTTAGTTTTGATTTTAGTATTTTCATGTAAATTCTTTTTTTGCGATATTCAATGGTGATTAGTATTAGAAAAGATGCGATAAGGGAAAAGGTTAGAATTACGTCTCATAGATATAAATTTTTATAACACCACAAGGTGGTCAGGGTATTATGTCTTTGTGCATTTATTTGTAACATGGAGAAGGAAGTGAGATAGACCCATAGTTACTTTTGAGGATCTCCATAGAATCACTTTCTGAGTTGATTTATGCATGTCAGTCCGTCTGTCTCTCCATGTATTCTTGTGAACAAAATGCAGGTCGCATTTATTATCCGATTGAGATGAAATTTTCCAAACAACATTTGTTTGGCCCAATGACGAACCCTATTGAAATTGGAGATAATCGGTAAAAATTTAGATATAGCTCCCATATATATCTTCGTCAGATTTGCCTTTTATTGTGCACCAAACGTGAAATATCAGCCCGAATAGTATGGAATTTTGCACATACAACCATATTAGGCCTGAAAATAAGTATGCCAAATTTAATCGAAATCGGTTCAGATATAGCTACAGCTCCCATACATATTGTTCATCCGATTTTTTATTTTTGTCCTCCGCAGACGTAATATGCACTTTGTAACTACAATATTTAGGGAAATATATCAAATGCAGCTCAGAAATACCTTTGCTAAATTTTATCGAGATCGGTTAAGATTTAGATATAGCTACCATATATAACTTCGTCCGATTTACTTTTGATTGTTCACCAAACGTCTAATATTTGCCCAAATGGGATGAAATTTGGCATTCCGAATTTCTCATCCGATTTGTTGTATTTGTTACCCACAGCCGTAATATGCACTCCGTAACAGCGATATTCAGGGAAATATATCAAATACAGCTCAGAAATATCTCTGCCAAATTTTATCGAGATCGGTTCAGATTTGGATATAGCTCCCATATATATCTTTATCCGATTTCAAATTAATTGTGCACCAAATGGGGAATACAAGTCCGAATTTAAAAGATACAAATGCTTCGGCATATTTAGTCTTGCGAACTTTAAATTATAATTATAATCATAGCGTGTATGATTGAATTCTCCCATAAAAACTTTTAATTGTTATGTGGAGCTCTACTAAATTAGAAAAGTGGTGTAGGGTATCATAAAGTCGGTCCGGCCCGACTTTAAGACTTTCTTTACTGGTTTTTATCTTAACTTGACACATTTTATTTTCCTATAACTTTTATGTAGCAGTTCTGTATATATATAAGTTCCTACTCATAATTGCAAAGTTTTCTAAAAAGAGAAAACAGGCCCGGAAGAAATTAGACATTTACAGGGTTGCCCATATTCGACGGACCTTTGGGCCCTTTGGGCCCATTCCAATCGACGAGGCTTGTCCGCAGGCAACATTCTTTGCGTCAATTGAATTTTGTACGGGAACAAATGCAAATCAATGCGAATAATCCGTTGTAAAGTGGACCGAGCCATACCCAAGCCATTTCTAACATGTTAAATTGTCCAGCGAGCAACAACCTCTTTCATGCCTAACCGCATATGAAAAAAGTTAAGAAGAAGTAAGTTCTTTGAATCCACCTACACCATTTGGGAAGAATTTGTTAGTTTAAAAAAAAAATAAATAAAATTATTAACAAATAAAACGTGTAATCCGTTATAAATTCTGTTCAAATCTAAGAAATACCCAATATAGGATGTTAACGTTTTTTTGGGGTATTGTACCTGCAGAGACAATTTTCTGTCACATTCTGTAGTACCCATTATAATGTTCAAATACGAAATATGAAACAATTCCGGTGAATAATGTAGCTAAAATCATTAAAATACCGAATATAGAGAGGATCCGATATTTAGGAGCTATACGAAGACGTGGAGCTGCACTGTACGAACTTCAAACACCAAATTTGAAACGATTTCGGTGAATAATGTCGCTAAAATCATCAAAATACCGAATATAGGAAGATACAGTTATATGGTGGTAATGCCAAGACGTGGAGCTGCACAGACAATTTTTCATCACAGGCTGTAATAACCATTACGAACTTCAAATGTCAAATTTGAAACAATGTCGCTTAAATCACCAAAATGCCGAAAATGGGGAGAGACAATAACAAAACGTGGACCTGCACAGACAATTTTCTGCCATAGGCTGTAATATCCATTACGAACTTCAAATAACAAATTTGAAACAATTCCGGTGAATAATGTAGCTAAAATCATCAAAATACCGAATATCATGAGGTACCGCTATATGGGGGCTATACGAAGACGTGGACTTGCACAGACAATTTTCTGTCATTGGCTGCAGTACCAATTACGAACTTCAAATACCAAATTTTAAGCAATTCCGGTGCATAATGTCGCTTAAATCATCAAAATACCGAAGAAAGGGAGGTACATTTTATGGGGGTCATACCAAAACGTGGACCTTCACTGACAATTTTCTGTCATAGGCTGTAATATCCATTACGAACTTCAAATATCAAATTTGTGTATTATAAGAAGACGTGGACCTACATGACCCATTTTCAATACCGAAAGTCCTGTAGACATAATATACATTTGAGTAAAATTTTATCAACCTGCTGTCATTTCAAAGCCACTCGTCCGACAGCTGTTAACATTATTCCAGTAACAGCTCATTATATTTTATACAAGCGTACAAAAGCATTTTGGTGAGATATTTCCAGAAAAAAAGTTATTCGTGGTGGAATTCAGGCGTGATAGTATGATTTCTTTATATTTGGTTGGAAAACAACAAGTGGATGTCGTTAGAGCACTCCAGCATTTAAATGAGAATAAATCTTTTGTGTTTCGTACCATCGCTCGTTACCGTGATACTGGTAGCGTAGCCCGACGTTATGTGGAAGTGGACGGAAGAAAACAGCAACATCAGCAGAAATGGTTCGAAAAATAATGAAGCGACCTGATCTAAACCCGCGTAGCGTTGTCTTAAAAATGGCACGTGAGCTGAACATATCGCAATATTCCATTCGCCAAATACTGAAAAATGAGCTCGGGGTTAAGCTATTGAAATTCCAAAAACTGTGAACTGCCGAATTTGATTTTCTCCGATGAGAAAATAAACTAAACAGCCGATGGTCACTCGTATTAATCGGTAAATGTTAAAAAATGAGCTCGGCGTAAAGCCATTGAAATTCCAAAAAGTGCAAGAACTTACACTGCAACAGAAAGAAATCGACTCAAAAGAGCTAAAAGAAGAGTTGCTTCGCCTGGGCGAAAGTGGTGAACTGCCGAATTTGGTTTTCTCCGATAGGAGTGAAACAAAGAAATAGATCGTGTTTACTTGTCAAAGAGGTCAGCTGAAACTGTATACCTTCGGTTGGCCACCGTGGCATCAGAATAAATGCCGAATATTGTCGCGAAAATATTCTAAAGGGTGTATTAAAGCCTTGGGCACGCAAACATTTTGGCCGCAGACTTTGGACGTTCCAACAGGACTCAGCACCATGGCACTCAGTACGCGCCTCGTATCAATCGACCGTGGCATCAGAATAAATGCCGAATATTATTGCGAAAATATTCTGGAGGGTGTATTCGAGCCTTGAGCACGCAAACATTTTGGCTGCAGGCCTTGGACATTCCAACAGGATTTAGCACCATCGTACTCAGCACGCGCCATCCATGAATGGTTACAAAATGAGGTTTCTCGCTTCATTTCCACCAAAATCTCCGGATACCAATCCGTTGGACTATTGTGTCTGGAGTATTTTGGAAAACAAGGTTGGCACTAAAAAATATCAAAGTGTCGATCACCTCAAGCAAGCGCTTCGCCGGGAATGGGCCAAAATACCGCAGAGCAACATTCAGGCAGCGTGTGACTGTTTCGTTGGCCGTTTGAAGGCCATAATTCGTGCCCAAGGTGACCAATTCGAACAAATCTAAACTTAAAATTTGATGCTATTTCCGACATTTTTTGCTTTCATTTAATTAAATTAAAAAAAATGTAAAAAATAATGCCCGTGAAGATAAATTGTAAAATATAAATGCAATGTGTTGGTGCGCAATGGGTTAATTGAAAAATAGTTTTTTTTAATATTAATGATTTTTACCATTTTTTTTGGATAAATCAACGTCTTTTTAAATTAATTTAAATTAAATTAACTAATTAAATTAATTTAACAGGAAAATGACACAATTTCCCGACGAGGACGAATAACCAGAGTGGTGTTGGCGGTAGGGAAACTGCATGGAAAATGCTGAATTGCACAAAAACTATGCTAGCTGCGTCATTGAGGCGGGTCTTAAATGAAAGGTCTCGAGGAGTACTTTCTGGCTATATATGCCTTATATTCCCAACTGATTTCAGATAATCGAATTTTTTCGATTTTCTAACCAAAGTGGCGGTTTCGGTAGGGAAACTCCATGGAAAATGCTGAATTGCACAAAAACTATGCTAGCTGCGTCATTGAGGCGGGTCTTAAATGAAAGGTCTCGAGGAGTACTTTCTGGCTATATATGCCTTATATTCCCAACTGATTTCAGATAATCGAATTTTTTCGATTTTCTAACCAAAGTGGCGGTTTCGGTAGGGAAACTCCATGGAAAATGCTGAATTGCACAAAAACTATGCTAGCTGCGTCATTGAGGCGGGTCTTAA